TACTATTATAAAAATATAGAAAAATTCTCTATATAATGCTTACAAAAATTGATTTCTTAAATTTGGTGTCAATATACTTCTTCATGTAAGTAAATGAGTAGTAATTTTCATAGTATTATATAAATAGTAATATATTTGAAATAGCAATATAATATAATAATTTACAGCAGTATAAGTTTTATAGAATAATAATTTATTACACAAAGGAGAAGTATGTAAGTAATAGTATATATTTTATAGCAGCATTTAAGTAGCATAGCATAATAAATGTGTCATAATATAGTACAATAAATTTATAACATTATAGTATAACAAAATGTCAGAACTGTATAAGATACATATGGCAGCATATTAAAATAATTTTACTAACGTATAGTGCAGTATAATTATTATAGTAAAAGTAGTATTTTATAATAGTTTATTGTAATTTATGTAGAAGAATTTTAAAGATAATTGATAAAATCTGTAATTTGTATTTAAATGTAAGAAATTACAACAATGTGCGTAAAAAAATTACTAAATGGGTACTTTCCCTTCACAAAACCGAAACATACCTTTTTACTTATATTTATTTCTATTAATTAACACATTAATCAAGAATAAAAACAGCAAAGCAAAAAATTGCTCAAAATTATTTTTTTCTCCATGTTGTGATAATTACAACGAATTACCTACGAATATACTTCAAGATAATGACATAATAATTGAGGCAAAGGAAGGTCATTATTTAATACTTATCACCTTATGTCATTTCCCTTTCTTCCCCATTATCTATTCCGTCATCACTTCATTAGAATACAGATGTTGGCAACATCAACCACGTGTTAGGTGACTAATGGAAATTAAAGAAGAGCAGACAACATTATTGGTACATTTCGAGAGAAATTTTTTAATGCGCATATATTTTCTTGTATAAAGAGACGGAATTATATCTTTGTTAATGGATAGTTCATAGATTTCATGGGAAAAAAGTATTTGTAAAGGTTACGCTTTAATTATTGTTTACGAGGCCCGTGTCTAACAGAAATTATCCTGGAAAAAAATAGCAGTAGAGATTTTACTTCTTATCAACGTTGAATTTAAGGTGTAGTATTAGTTGTATTAGATTTACTTATCAAATTTAGATAAGGTGGTAAAACCTTTTGCGTAGTATGTTTAAATCTTTAGTCATGCAACTTTGACAAAATGGTGATGTGAAAAGTATACAGCTTATTTTTGTAAATAAATTATAGTTTAAAAAAAACTAAAAAACACCCTTTTATTGTTAATCGAACTAAGATGTAACTTAATCTTTTAGTCGCCAAATCTGTAATTAGTCGCCAAATCTGAAAATGGTCGCCAGATGCTAGATGGGATCTGAAAATGGGAAATTGTTAATCCTGATGATCTTTATCAGGACAAAGAAACAAAAATATTAAATTATTATATTTCCATCGTTCCTGTATGAGTGAGCAAAATTTTGAATTTATCTGACCTTTTAAAGTGGGTAAAAACTGAGTTTTAAGATTCCATTGCATACAAGTGAAGCTTATAAATGGGTGTTAAAAATGAAACAATTAAGGTTGTTAAGACATATAAAGCTATTGCAATTGTTTACACTCTAATTTATAGAATTCAGTTTTTGTGAACTCGAATTCTTTTTTCTAGTTCTTTCTCCGAATAATGCAATTTATCTAGAGCAGGGGGTGATTGGTGAATTTTTTTGTACATAGATTACCTTATTCTTATTTAAAAGTGCCGTGATCGACTTGTTGTCATAGAGGTTACAAAAAAGTGTCTTATCATGCAGTACATTCAATGTATAATTTAAGAATTAGCTTTGTGATCGGCCGGACGGTTGTGATCGACATGTTGGCTACCCCCGATTTAGAGTATTATAAACAAGTAATAAATTTTTTTTTTAATTCCTACTTAGATCAACAAAGAAAATTTTTATTTTAGCTACTTTTTATTAAATAGTTACAATTAATATCAATATGTATATACATATGACAGAATCACAACATTAAGTGGTAATTAATTTTTATTGATTATCATTAAAGTATCGTATTGTCATCCCAAACAATCGTGTATATAAAATTTCAGTTCAACTGAATGCTTTAAAACGTGCGAAAAAAACCTTTTCAAGTTTTGACACAAGTCACTAAAAATGATGCCAACGTGGCTGTATTTGTAATTCTTTAAATAATTAGTTTTAATCAATTAATTTATATTAATGATAATTAAATTATTGTATTGTCATCCAAAATAATCCTGTATTTAAAGTTTCAGCTCAATGGAGTGCTTTAAAATGTATTTTATTAACGATTGAAAATTACACCAAGATAAATAAATATATAGAGAGTGTGAGCTAATAGTAGGAACTGAATTGAAAAATATTGCCGCAAGATAACTGAATGGCCATGGTAGTGAGTTTATGGTCGGCGTTGTTTCTACAGAGCCAAGGGATCGAATCTTGGTGCACCATGCAGCAGAGCTGATTAAAGTTCAATCTGTCGAGGATCGAAGTTACCACGTTGCTACAAATTCAAGTTTGTAGAATTGGGTTCCAGCTCAGATACCTCGTTTTCGTTGCTAGATTGGGATTTAGAGTTATGGGTTCGTCGTCAATAGTTCATGTTGTTTAGAGGTGGATGTTAACATTTTCAAGATAGGAGACGGGAATTCCCATCTTATATTTTATTAATTATTGTTTCAACTATTAATTTAATTTTTAATTTGTTAATCGAATTATTAATTTTTTAATTTTCAATTGTTAATTTAATATTTTATTGTTACATTTCCCTTTTTTTTTTTAAAAAAAAAAAAATTGGATTTTATTTTATTTTGAAAAAACAAAATATGCGGGAATTTGGGTAATATACTTTTTACTACGTATTTCCTTTAATGCGTTGATAAACAATCACACCAATCACAGAAAATGTTTTGTATTTCAACTAGTGTGTATGGATAATTCAAGTCTATTTCTTTCTGTGTATGCTTTACTTCGAAATCTAAGAATTCTATATTTTGTTGAGAAATTCGTAATTTTTTACATGCGTAAATGATTTGTAAATTTTTTCCAATATGTGATTATAGCAGATTAATGACGCATTAATTGAATAAACACTATTCTTCTTTTAATCCACTCAAAACCAAATCAGAATTTAACTGTGTAGAACTGTTTTCTCTAACAGGTTTCCACATGAAACCCCAGGGGCTTGAAGGCTCCAAAAGAATAATGCCCAGATCCAGAGTATAAACTAAGTGATTCATGATAAAAATATTATTAATAGAATTATTTAATAATATTAATAAATTAAGCTATAGGTCCCGTAGTCGAATGGTAGTGCATCGTGCCACCACAACAACGGTCCGGGGCTGTATCCTCGTGCAGGGCAATGTCGACTTAGCCTTTCATCCCTTCAGTGGGTCGATAAATGAGTACCAAGCTAGTTTGGGAACTAAACACAGGGGGGTTCGCTTCAGACTGACCACCTGATCTGAACATCTGCTCATGCATCTCAGAGCCTAATGGTCATACTGAGATGGGCACAGTAGGCCTTGGTCCTCTTGGGCTGTTGCGCCACTGAGTTTAGTTTAATAAATTAAATTAATAATATTAAAATTCAGAAGCTCACTGTAATAAGATTAAAAGAAATCGTATATTCCTACATCATTATTTTCCCATCATCTTATGTTGTCAGATGGGGATTTTTAGTTATGTAATACTTAATAGAAAAGCATGATTGACAATATAGTAAATAGAGGTGTGTTCTCTTCTGTTAATTCTCCCAAAATATGAATTATATATAAGTATGTTGATATCAAAATATCAGCCATGAAGATCTCATTGGTAATGCTTACTTATTTAATGGAATTATTTAACAGCCTTTAAAATAAGTTTTATAAGTGTGTTTTTAAATAAATACTAATTTTTTTTTACTATTTAATAAAAAAATAAATAAATTGGTAAAAATAAGTTTCTCCCAGTTTTACTGACCAAAATCTTCAAAATTTGTAATTTTTATATTTTAAAATTATATTGAAACTATTTAATCATTATTTTGTAAAAACCTGCATATAAATATTTCATTTAAGAATGTTACATGCACGTGTATATAGGAATCTACATACTTAAACTTTAAACTCAAAAGGTCTACATGCAAAATTAAAATGTGAACGCTTAATCTAGAAAAAAAAGTCTTAGATGTTATTTTTATAAAAAAAAATCCCTCTCATATATTGATCTATGTAAATATACAAAGCCCGATTTTTTGGATTTCTAAAATTTTGCCTGCATTCTATTTCTAATTCTTATCTACGGTAATGGTTGTATTCAATCATTTTTCGAGCTTTGGTTTTCTTGACTTTCTGTAAGGAATTCAGAGATTACTCTTGCATTTTAACAAAGTAATAGTGATTTTATATTATATTTTATAAGTAATCCTCTGATATTGGTACAAATAAAAACGTAGAGTCATATGTCTTTAAGATAAATTTTCTGGAACATAAATTTAGTATTTCAACAGCATTCAAGCCGTGATGTAAATTATAAGGGGGGGTGTATTGTTATCAACCGCGCGCGCGTGTAGACTTTTACGTAGACTTCTAACTGATGGTATTTCAAAACTCTGATTGTAGTTATTGAGTATTCTCTCTCTCTCTCTTACGTAATTAATAAATTGTTCTTTTTTAAAAATACTTAGAATGGTACTTTAAATTGCATAATGCAATTTTTTCATTAAAGTATCTTTAATTTTTAAGCGAATGAAACCTTAAACAAGTATTATAAAAAAAAGTCTGAAGTCAATTTCTACTGAGGTCAACAAAGAAAAATTTTATTTTAGTTACTTTTTATTAAACAATTACAATTAATATAAATATTATATACTTATGACAGAATCACAATATTAAGTGGCAAAAAAGAAAACGATTTTCCTTTCTATGTATGGTGTTGGACTACTATTTTTGTTTGTTACTATTTATTCATTCATAAATCGCATTTTCAGAAATTAGACTATCTCAGGTAGGATCCAAGCCCACGACCTTTGGATTATTAGTCCAACGCACTATTCATTGTGCTACAGGAGCATAACGAGCGATTTTCCTTTTTATATATGATATTGGACTATTATATTTGTTAGTTACTATTTATTCATTAATTATATTTAATTAATGAATTAATATTTGAAAAAACTACTAGCATCAAGTGTCCTCCACTAAAAGTTTAAAAAATAATATATTTGAACTTGAGTGGATGAATAAAAAGTATTTTATTAACGATTGAAAATTTGAACAAGATATATATATATATATATATATATATATATATATATATATATATGTAGGGAGAGTGTGAATTAATAGTAAGAATTGAAAAAAATGAGTTTTTGTGTGAAATATACAAACGCTTCCACCAAACCAGTCCTTCAATCAGTTTATCAAATTTGAATACCGGTACCTAACACCTTAAACCCCACCAATAACGATTGGGCGGAACAATGCAATAACTTCTGAACTCAAAAACGGAAATATTCATAAACTTTAACCCACGAAACTGCTCAAAAACATTAAAAACGATTACGGCACTTAAATCAAGAGGCATTCCCGGTCAAATTTATCGTCCGTGAAGAGGATAAAATCCGGATTATGGACCGAATGAATTTCAATTCCAAAGGGAACGATGCCTTTCGGCGCGAAAAGGCAAGCACGTGTTTACATCCGGGGCCCTTCGGCTTAAAATGCTGACTCAAAGCTCACGTAGAGAGAAGAGGGGTAAAAAAGTTTCGGACAAGGCGGTGTTTCCCGAATCTCTATTTGAATGAAAATAACATCTAGAAATCAGAGCTCAACCCCCTGCTCGCACCCCTCTCAATATATAAAAAAGGAGCCCCCTATATCGAATCGTAGACACACGTGGGGGATACCCTACCACCTTGCGTCGGAAGTGAACAATAGAAGACTGGACAAAAGGGTGGATCAAAAAACCCACCTTGCGTCAAAGAGGGGGAGCTGTCACGTGTCCTAGCAGATTATTGTCGAGCGTAGCACGTGGTCTTGTGCGTAATCTAGGCGGATAAATTAATTCGAACCGGTGTCACGTGCGTTTGGAGGCGGAAAAAAAAGTTTTAGCACACTGATAAAAATCAGCCCTAGCTCTTTGGTGGACGGCGTTCTGTCTTGTAAAGATGTGACCACTAATAGCCCCAAGTCGTCCACCAGGGCGGAGGATTTGCATCTATGGTTAAATATATGGGGCGTGGGGGCAATTGAAGATTGATTGCTGAAGTGTGGTGAAAGAGTTTTTTATTCATAAAAATAACTAATAGTTCTATACTAATATTAAGCGTTATCTAAATTAGGATCTGAGTAGTGAAAAATGAGTCCCCCTGATATCTTAGGGTCTATATGCTTGTGCAGAACTACAAAAAATATGTAGTAGAGAAATGAAATATAGCAGTTTATCCCCTCATTACATATTTTGTTGTATATAATGCGCATATTATTTTCATTGTAATGTTCTATTTATTCAATAACCTTACACAGTGCTGCAGTTTCAAAATATATCAAACGTTTGTAAGTCTAGGCCTTAATTTTAATAGATTTTGTACTTTCAAGGTTCTTGGGGTGGGTAAATTCATACAAAGAGAAATAAGAAATACAGTTGAACCAGTTTTTGTGCGATTGATAGGAACCGCATAAAAATAACCGCACAAAAAGTATTCGAAAATTTCATTAATTCTTACTTATAACAAGCAAATTCGTCGAAATACTGCAGAAAATTTTTTTTATGCGGTCGCACAAAAATAAAATCGCATAAAAAAGGACCGCACAAAAACAGGTTCTACTGTATAAAATTTCCTTTTATCTAACTAAATGATTTCGTATGTTGTCAACACACATGAGAGGTAAAACTCAACTCAAAAGCTCATAGGATTCTTAACAGATATCTCTCCGTGCACTCGAAAAACACATCCTTCTTCAAACCAATGTAACTTAACAATAAAACGAAACAATGATTTGAAATTTATACCACATCATAATCATATATATATATATTATTCCTCAAATTTTCGGAGAATTTGAGAAAAAATTAAGAAAGTTATAAAGAAATAAAAATTGGGCAATTTTTCAAAAATATGAAATTTTTTTTGAAAATTGATATATAAGTTATGAAGAGCCTTATTTTGAACACGTGTATTAAATTTCAAATTAATACCATAAATAGTTTCTGAGAAATCCTGCGCGAAAGCTAAAATTTTTTGTTTTGCGAAAAATGAAGTTAAAAATAAGAAAGAGATAGGGTTTTCGTTTAAGTTTCACTACTTATTTCTCAATAACTTCGGAAGTTTTCACAGTGTCAACACAATTTTGGTACCAAAATGCTCAGAAATAATTAAACTAGCATATATATATATTTTTTTTTAAAAAAATTGAAAAATTTGCAATTTAAGAGTCTTGTGAGGCTTTAAAGGTAAGCAAAATAATTTAATTCAAGAATACTAGATATTATCGGAAGACTACATTAAATCTGCTTAAGGATACAATAAGGTAATAGGATATTCCTTATTAGGAATTAGAAGATTCCATATCATCCAGTTTCATCTCGGGTTGTGTCCAAAAAATACAGAGCGCTTCAACTCTTTTCATAAGCAACTTCGAGAAATATTGGAAATTTTGGACGAATTAGAATCAATAGAACTGAATAAAATCCCTTATATAATTTAAAAATAAAAGCAGAACGGAATTTATCACTTTATCTTTTTTGATGTGGCTCCAAAATAAAAGTTTATATAAAGCCAAACATCCCATATACTTCCCCCTTTTCAATTTAAATTGAATTTTTATTATGTTAATAAATCAAATTGTTTTGATGTTTCATGTCGTGCTCCTATTTTTGTTGTCCCATTTTTATAATAGTGTATTATTAGTACATGTCTCAATCTTAGGGTATTGTTTTATTTGTTGAGCTAATCTCTAACGCAGAGGTTCCCAAACTTTTTCGCCTCATAGACCCCTTGACAGGTTTTTCGGCTTAGGGTAGACCCCTGCTAACCTAATATTAAATTTTTCTAAAATCATCAACTTAAATGTGTTTTTGACTGCAGGTATAGAGCTTCTTCTTTTAAAAGATTTAAATTTTTAGCTTCAGTGAGGTATAGAATTTAAAACTTTAGAAAAAAGACATTTTAATTAATTAAATTAAAATTTAATTAATACATAAAATAACTAAGTAGCAAGAACAAATGCTTTTAGTGGGAGGGATGAATTTGGGGATGCAATAACAAATTTTCAACATTTGATACCAATCTTGTCAGGTTTTACCCTAAATATCCTCGGTTAATGGTGTCCAGTCTTTCTTTCTTTTTTTGTTTTGGAGATCGGCAAGCACATTGTAACTCCTTCTCAACTCGAAAAACAAGTAAAAACTTTCTCAAGATATTCCATAATATAGAATAAATAACAGGTATATTTTTAAAGCCAAAATTACTGACATCCATTTCTAAAATTTACTTTAAGATCTTCGTTAGTGCCTAATTCTTGTAATCTGACTTTTTTTGTACGAAGTGACCACCATTTGAATTCATTGCCTACTGTGGTATGACGATAGTCAATAAATTCTTAAATCTAGCTTCAAAATCTAAAATAAGGGCGTTTAAATGTTTAATGTAAGTTAAAACGTCTTTTTTCCTGGTAGATTGTCTGTGACAATTGAGAAAGTGGAAAAATTTGCAACGTCTATTATTATACTTCCTTTGCTTAATTCTGGCAACAAAGGCTGGAATGTGGTCCATATTTTAATAAAATTTATGCTGTAGACTTAATAACTGAAAATTAACCTCATTCAATTTAGTAAATAAATATGTTAAAGAGGTAAGTCTGGTTTCCACTTAATTAAATTTCCTTTTAAAATTAAAGTCACGATCTGGTTTAATGAGGTCCGCTATCGTAGACCCCCAAATATTTTTTTGATGACGTGGACCCCTTGCCGGTCGTCATAGACCCCTGGGGGGTCCATACGGATATTTCTTTCTTTGGGATTTTCAAATTTCTTTTTTAAAATTCATCTTTTTTTCATTGTTAAATTTATCTAGTAAAATTCTTGATATACTTTTAAAAAATTAATTTGTTTGTTTAATACGTTTATAATTGAAAATCGTAAATTTGTGTTAAGTTAAAAAAGGGCATTGGACAATTTGCCAACAGCTGTTTATATTGTTACTCGTGAATTTTGGTGAGTAATTTTAACCTAGATTTTATTCTGCATTAAAAAAAATTGATTTACCAGTATACGAGTACGTTATAAAGTAGTGTTTGTGCAAGCAAAAATTAGAATGCTTCGTGTGTGTTTTAAACTTAACGTAATATACGGTATTTTAGGAAATTCAAAATTTAGAGAAAAACATAAGCTAGATGGGAAAAATAATTCTTGATTATACTAGTTCGTACTTAAAGAAAAATCCAAAACCAATTCTCATTATGGAAATTTTCAAGTAATTTCTTAACAGAAGCTTAATATGGGATTTTTTTTTTATTTTAGTTCTGTATTCCAAATCGTAACGATTCAAATCTATAACTGCAAATTGAAATTAATTTCTTAAAAACATTTACATATGTATTTTTAAATTAATCTTCAAGTCAGCTTATTAAAACTTTTAATCGAGAATAGCAATTACCATTCTTTATATTTATACAGTAAAATTTTTTAGAAAAACACAAAAACGATGATTTTTCATTTATGTTGTATTTAAATGGTTAACCTGAAATATTTTTGTTTTTTTTAAAAAAAGGTTTTCTCATTTAAATAAAATTTTAAATAGTTAATGAAAAATTAAACAAAATACTCGTGGGTTAACAACAGAAATTTCTCTAAAAGCTTTTGTTTTGATTTTTTTCTTTGAAAATAAACAAAAGTATATGAAACCTTTAATTTTAAGAATAATCTAAGTAATAAATTAAGTATAAGATACACCTCACAAAAACAAATACATCATGAGCATTTTTATATCAAAGATAAAAATTAAACTTGAATAAATGAGAAGAAAGCGAAAGTATTATAGTTTAAAATAAATCCACTTTTACAGACAATT